TGGACGACGTCATCGTGCTCAGCAAGACATTTGACGAACACCTTTTGCGCTTGCGCGCCGTGTTCCTCAAAATGCAAGCTGCGAATTTGAAATTTAAGCCGCAAAAGTGCCACCTGCTACGGGAATCCGTACGCTATTTGGGGCACATCGTCAGCCACTCGGGCATATCCACCGATCCCGCAAAGACGCAGTGTGTCAGCTCCTGGCCAACCCCCACCTCTGTGGCTGAGGTCAGGAGTTTCATTGGATTTGCGTCTTATTACCGGCGGTTCGTCGCGGATTTCGCGACCATTGCTAAGCCCTTACACACTCTGACGGCGAAGGGAATGACATTTCACTGGGGCCAGGACTAGGAGGTCGCTTTTTGTTCCCTTCGCGATGCTCTCGTGCGGGCCCCTCCATTCAGCTACCCCGATTTTTCGGAACCCTTCCTGCTCGATACAGACGCCAGCAATACGGGCATTGGGGGTGTGCTCTCACAGTTGATCTGTGGTGTGGAACGCATCGTGGCTTATGGAAGTAGGGTTTTGTCTCCGGCAGAGCAGAGATACTGTGTCACGTGTCGGGAGCTGTTGGCCATTGTATTTTTTATACAACAGTATCGCCCATACCTGTACGGACGGCATTTCACTGTCCGTATGGACCCTGCGGCATTACAATATGCCTTGCGGTTGGAGCAGCCTTCGGGGCAATTGTCCCGATGGCTCGAAATCCTTCAGGATTATGATTTCACGACCACATATCGGAAGGGTGCTCGGCACACTAATGCGGATGCGCTGTCTCGCCTGCCGCCCGCCTCAGATTGCGCTTGTCTCAGGGGATCGGGGCGTTGTAAGCCGCCAGAGGATAGCCCCCCCCCCCCCCCCTTAGACATCCCGGTTCTCGCTGCTGCCACTGAGGACCCCTTGCCTGAGGGTCCTGTCGGGGAGGGAGGTGCGGACTCCTTGCTGGGGTTGTCCGTTGCAGAATGGGGGCGCCTCCAGATGGAGGACGCATCCCTCCTCGCGTTGCGTCGTCGCACAGGGGGTTCCGTGCAGGGGGGTCGCGGGGATTGATTCGTACGAGCTGCTCCAGGGGCTCCTGATGCATTGGGATGGGAGGGCCTGCCGTCATAGGCTTGTGGTGCCATCCGCTTTGCGGGGTAAGGCCGTTTGGGCCGCACACGAGCGACTTTTGCACCTGGGGACCCACAAGACCCTTGCGTGCTCCAGCTGGATTTCTTCTGGCCGGGTATGGCAAGGGATGTGGATGACCTCCTGGGTGCATGCACTCAGTGCGCCCAACGAAAACCACCAGCGAAAGGCGCCTGCCCACCGCTACAATCTATCACGGTCTCTCGGGTTAAGGAACTCGTCGCACTCGATATGTTGGGGCCCTTCCCTGCGACCCCTAGGGGTAACAAGTACCTGCTGGTTGGTGTGGAATATTTCACCCGATGGCCTATGGCAGGGGTCGGGAACCTTTTTGACTAAGAGAGCCATGAAAGCAAAAAATTTGGAAATTTATTTCAGTGAGAGCCATATAATATATTTTAAAAGTGAATTCAACTAAATGTCAGTATAATAAGCCTCTGAATTTATTCTTTTAAATAATGTTGTTATAACACTCACCATTAATGCGACTTCTGGTGCTGCATGGATTTGCTGATGTCTTTGTAGTCGGGTTGGTACTTGGTGAGGTTAAGCTTCATGCAAGCGTTGAGGCTTTCATCCGTTAAACGTGATCGTAGGTTGGACTTGATGTTTTTAAGATGTGAGAATGACTGCTCACATGCATACGTAGATCCAAACATGGTCAATACAGCAATACTCACACGCTGCAGTGTGTGGTATGTGACAGGAAGCGCGTTCCAAGTTTTGAGAATCAGCTGGTCTTCGGGTTGGAGTTTTTTCATTTCTGTCCACATGTGCTTGCTCGCCAACTCCGCTTTCTGTCGTGTGATTCTTTCCAAATCTTCATTCAGTGACTTGAACTTATTCACCCACATGTCTGAGGCCTTCAGGTCAGCCACTTCTGCTTCAAAATCTCTGACGGAGACACCAGGGATGTAATTCAGGTCGGCTGTGTTCAGTGAACACTCGTTTGGATGGGTGATGAACTTAAAAAGACGAGTGTGCTCACGAAATTCTCCAAAGCGTGCTTTGAAGGACTGTAGGAGACTGGATGTGCAGCCAGCTAGCTGGTGGAGATCAAGGTTTTGAATGGGCTCACTTGCTGTGCATGCATCTTTAAATTGGCTCAGTTTTTCAAAATGTAGTAAACGACCTGTTTCAAGATCCGTGATGAAAAGCTCCAGCTTGTTTTCAAAAGCAAATACAGCTTGTTGAAGGGATAACACTGTATTTCCAATGCCTTGCATTTTCACGTTGAGCTGGTTCAGATGTTCAGTCAGATCTACGAGATAGTAAAACTTGAGGAGCCACTCGGTGTCGGCTAGCTCAGGATGCCCGACGCCTTTCATTTCAAGGAAAGTCCGGATTTCGTTCAGGCAAGCCGCAAAACGGCTAAGCACCTTCCCTCTTGACAACCAACGCACATTGCTGTGCAAAAGCAGACCAGGATAGTTATTTACAACTTCATCCAGCAGTGTTTTAAACTGGCGATCATTTAAGGCTCGGGCAACAATAAAGTTGATCACACGAATGACCAGCGACATCACTTCGCCAAACTGCCTGTCACACATCTGAGCACAAAGTGCCTCCTGGTGTATAATGCAATGGAAACTTAGGATGGGTCTATTTTCATGTTCACGGAGAAGCGCCACAAATCTTTTGTTTTTCCCCACCATACACGGAGCACCATCAGTACACACTGAGAGAAGTTTATCCATAGGTAGACTTTTTTCTTGAGCAAACTCCATGAAAGACTTGAATAAATCCTCACCTCTTGTGGACCCTTTTAATGGCAGAACAGCAAGACTTTCTTCGCGCAGTGTGTCACCAACAGCATATCTTGCAATCACACTGAACTGCGACAAATGGCTCACGTCTGTTGACTCATCCAAAGCCAGAGAAAAGAACGGCGCTGCATTTATGTCCTTCACTTGCATTTCCTCCACTTTGTTTGCCATCACGATGGTACGATCATGAACAGTTCTTGCCGACAGAGGCATGTCTTGTATCCGTTTGATTATCTTGTCTTTGTTCGGAAGATCATCAAAAAGTTAATTGGCTACATCCAGCATGAACGTTTTAGCATACTCGCCATCTGTGAATGGTTTTCCGTTCCTCACTATTGCTAAAGAACCAGCAAAGCTAGCCGAATTATAGTCACCTTGCCGGGTCCATACGCGGAGTTGCTGCTGGCTAGCTTGCACCCTGCTCAGAAGCTCTTGGCACGCTTTCTTTCTGCTGTCTCCCGCAGGGTATTTTGATGCAAAGGTAGCGTGGCGCGTGTCGAAGTGCCACTTTACATTCGACCGTTTCAACGATGTAATTTTGTCATTGCAAATTAGACACACCGCAGAACCCGCTCTCTCCACAAAGGCGAATTCTTCGGTCCATTCGTCCTGAAATGTACGATACTCGTCGTCTTTTTTTCTTTTCGCCATCTTCTTCGTCGAAGGGTTAGCTTTGAGCTAATGACCGAGCAGACGCAGTCTCAGACTGATTCAAAAGGGGGCGTTTACCTGTTTTACCCAGCAACGGCAAACGTAGGCCAGTATCATCCAATTAAAATAATGGACAATTGCTCCTGCAGCCCTGAACAGGACATGCGCAGTCAAAAATCGATGGATGGATTAAAACAAGTGAGAATATTTTGTTTTATCTGCGAGCCATATGCAATCATCAAAAGAGCCACATCTGGCTCGCGAGCCATAGGTTCCCGACCCCTGCTATACACACTCACTCACATACTCACTCACACGCTCACTCGCCCACACACTCACATACTCACTTACACACTCAGTCACTCACACACTCACTCGCCCACATACACTCACAAATTCACACACTCACTCAATCACACACTCACTCGCCCACAGACACACATTCACCCACTCACATACTCACCCACACATTCACACTCACACATACATTCACACTCACACACACATTAACTCATACAAAGTGATTTAGTCACACATTCATTCACCCAACAACAACCGCCATTCGCCACTATGTGACGGTGATGTCACCACGACGCTTGTGCCAGGCTATGTGCACGTTAAGGTCACGTGAAGTGGCGAAAGCCTGCTGGGCAGGAGGTCACGGGGCAGACCCAGGTGCCACGGGTCGACTGACTGAGATGAGTGGCCGACGCACCACCTGTGCCCCCTACTGTGCCAACTTATTCTGCTTTAGCCACCCGGCGCTCTGCTCGTTGTTGTGAGCGTCGCTCCTCCCCCTCTCCGTTATTATTGGAGGGCGACTGCCTCCAACTGCCCAGTAGCGTCATTCAAGAGCCTCTTCCACAGAGGCTGATCTTGAGACCGCTGGTACCAGTCATCGGCAAGTCCATTCAGCTCCTCATCCTCCTGTACCATCTCTTCTCCACGTTTCACAAGCATAGAGAAGTGAGGGAATGACTGTGGCCGAGAAGACCTCAAAATTCGTTCAGAGCGACAGACCAAGTAGCTTCCACACAGCATTATGCAACCGATGAAAAGATAATGCCATACAACTGATTCGGAGCGAGACCTCTGCTGGTTAACCGAAGCCAATCATGAATACACTGCCCAGGTATGGGAAACTCCCCACAACTTCCCCATCACCAATTGGGAGTGTTCGATGGTACAAAATACCCAGGCAGGAGCTTAGTTTTGGTGGGGCTGATGATAAGGCTCCACCTCTTAGCAGGAAAGCTCAAGGTTCAGCAGCAACACCTCCAACTCCTCCTCTGAGCAAGCAGCAATTACCAGATCGGCAAACGTAACATGGTTGAGCAATAGGGAGAAATCCCTTGACCACACCTGGGCATTGATCTGCCTCCAATTGTAGCTGTAGCAGATAGAAGTCTTCAGGAAGTACGTGGTAAAAATAGATGTTAATTAATGTGGGAGCCAGAGGACATGCCTGTCGCACCCGAAGGTGTAGAGGGAATGGCTCCGACTCCCGGCCATGCAGTTTTACCCAGGCGGCAAATAATATGAAATCCTGCAGTCACAAACGCTGTAAGTGAAAATAAGTAATGTAATAATAGGAAGGTGATATTTTAAAAAAAATGTGTATTTGAACGTGAGTTCACACAATAACAAAGAAGATATTTAACGTGAGTTGACACAAGAATGAAGATGAAAGCAATGGGCAAGTTATGAGCAAAACATTAGGTGTACGATTTGTATGGTGTGTATGGCATTGTGACAAATGCAACATTTATGAAAATGTTTGTAGCTACGTGATGTAACAGGTGAGCTGCCAGACCATTGAAAATCACCCCCTGCCCCGCAACCCTCCGCATTCCCCCTGCCACCCCTCCTCCACGAGCCCCAACATCGATTCCCTACACAACATTCATAAATACAGTTACACATCATCGGAATCACCACGCTCATCAGAATCTCGGAGCCGCGTTCACCCTTGGCTTCGTGTGGGGTTCACAGAGAGAGAAAGCTCCCCGCTCATTGTCGTCTCAGTCAGGCTCAGAGTCGGTGCCGGTGACAGGAGCTCTTGAGGTTAAATGCACCGGGCTGCTGTGCGAGTCGTGCGTGGGGCAGCTCCATCTGTTGCAGCGCCAGCGTCGCCTCTCCGCTTAAATCTACAAACGCAGGCCTTCTCTGGGAGTCCATTTGCTCCTCAGCTCCTGCTTCCCCTCCTCACTGAAGTCATTGCACTCCACCCTGCAGCACAGAGAGAGGCTTCACGCTGACACGGGGTTCACACGGAGACTCGGGCAGCTCCGCACCGTTCGAGACCCATGCAGCCCACAACAACCACTCTGGATTAAGGTCTCCTCATGCTATTAGAGCTGCTTCACCATACTTTACCACGCGGGTCAGTGCAGGTCTGTGATGGCAGAGACTGCAGATCTAGGATCGTAGAATAGTTCAACGGTGGATTGTGCTGCACACTGCAGTCTGTTGCCCGCAACTTAGCTCTGCTGCCTATAACGCCTGTGGTTATGTGCGGTGGTTTATCTGATGACGGTTGCTTGTGTTGCAATCGAAACGTTTATTATATTATTATTTGGTTTTATTTTCTACGTGACTTTACCGAAAGAACCAAAGAGAATATTAAATGGACTGGAATACACTCCACTACTCACCCCACACTTCTGGCAATGGCTCTCATAGCACACAAACATGCTATCAAGGTCCATTGCCCAAAACGTTGCCTTTTCAATGTTTTATTCTGCTAAGGCAACAGTGTTAATGACGAATCAAAGTTGTTTTCTCTGTAGCAACAATCAGAGCGCGTATGAGACACGAGCAGCATAACTTACCTGAGCTCCCTCAATGCTTTGTTGGTGATTATGATGTCATGGAGAGCCGGGATCGATTTGTCCTTCAGTGAGCAGCCTATCAGACTACAGGGAGAGAAGAGGCACTGAGTGGGGTGAAACTGGAAAATAAAGCGTGTACACACCCACAAGAAATGGAGAGCAACTCAACATCTTTTAGTACAATAAGGGTGGAAATCTCGTATAATCAGCTAAATAGAGGGAGGGAGTAATCATTTCGTACCAAGGAACGCAACCCTATTTGTCTATTAATTGTTTAATGCGGCTTTGTCCAAAACGGCATTTTACAGGAACGTAACTCACCGCATTTGGCGAGGTCTGCCTCTGCAATATATTGTATTAAGCATCACGTTGATCTATGAAAGGCCACTAGATACAGGCAGAGGAGCCAGAATCTAAATCTGAATATTTATTAATAGAAAATCCGAAAATCTATAAAGCTCTTTTCAGAGATGTCCACGCTAGCCATCACAAGGCAAAGGCTGGTTTAAACTGTATATTGGGCAAGGTTAAAATAATGTTCAAATGTATAGGGCTGGCGTATAAGAGCCATTGGTGACTTTATGTCTTTAATAACGGTCAGGTTGTGGTGTTATCTAATGTAAAGTTTGGGTGGGCAATTAATGCCAAGATTGCAGCCGTTCATGATATTACATTCTTAATTGTAATCCATGACGTTAAACACAGACGACCATCGATTATATGCAAAGAGTGCCTATCTGGCTTCCAACATCCAGTGAAACCGGTAAAACCACTCAAAAGGCTGTACCAGTCCGGCGATCGGCGCCATGTGCGTGACAAAACAAGTAGCTATCCTTTATTTCAGTGTCAAATAATATATACAGTACATCACACGCTGCATACAACTTAAACAATGAAAATACTGCACGCATATACTTTTTTCATGACTAATAACTAGTCATAGAAACAGTAAATATACAGTGCGATTTGGCGAAAATTGCGTGCAATTCGGCGTTTGCCAGAGCACTGATCTGAAGGCTGCATCAGTCTGACGATTGTCAAACACAAGATGTTGTTGTCAAACACAAGTTGTGGTTGTCAAACACAAGTTGTGGTTGTCAAACACAGGTTGTTGTCAAACAGAAGTCGTTGTCCTCAAACACAAGTCCTTGTCAAACACAAGTTGTTGTCAAACACAAGTCGTTGTTGTCAAACACAAGTTGTCAAACACAAGTCATTGTTGTCAAACACAAGTTGTTGTCAAACACAAGTTGTGGTTGTCAAACACAGGTTGTTGTCAAACAGAAGTCGTTGTCCTCAAACACAAGTCCTTGTCAAACACAAGTAGTTGTCAAACACAAGTCGTTGTTGTCAAACACAAGTCGTTGTTGTCAAACACAAGTTGTTGAACACGAGCGTCGTACGCACATCACTGCATGCAGAGTCATCGATATTGGAGTGGTGAGTGCGGTACAGTAAATGGTAACTTTTTACAGCAGGATATTTATTTAGTTTATTTGTATATTTATTTAAGCGATTTTCATATCGTAAGCTATTTAAAATATTAAATATATACAGAGCACCTATAAACATAATCGTATTCAAGAACCTGCAAAAATAAGCTGTTTTAAATAATGACGCGATTATCTGGTGTTATTGAAAATCCAGTACCCCCTTCCTCCCGATGCTGCTTGATAATCGAATATCTACTGTATTAACATAATATAGTTTGAAACAATATTATTGGTTAGAGTCGGTAGTGACAATTGTAATTGTATTATTATTTAAGTGGTTAGAAGCATTGTCATAAGTGTGGTTAATAACTTAATTGATGAGTGCATAAAAAAGAAAGTTATAATAGATGTTAAAATACAACATTATGCTACTAGCTTCTTTGCCCATCCTAGGACGGAAGCTGTAATATTTACAAACAAAAATGAGCAGAGTATAATTGTATATTGTGTTAATTGAATGGCAGTGAATAGTGCACGAAAGTATGCCATAAAACACATTCCTGCGGAGGGAGCTGGTAGGAACGTTGGCTTGCTCGGTCAATGGCCAGGGTCAACGGCGTCGTGGTGTATTCCGCAAATATGCCCGACTGTGAGGGCGGGCACAAGCCGACATGAGTAGGTTAAACGTTGAGTTTTATAAGGGCACCACGGGGTGACCCCCTCCCCGCCCAGCCCACCCTCCCTCCCTCCCTCCCCAGCCCCACCCTCCCTCCCTCTTGTTTTCTTTAACGATCAGAAGAAACAGAAAGATGCTCGGTCTTTCGGCACTTTGCTTCGTCCATCATGTCGTCTTTTTTGTCTTTTTTGTTTACTTATGTGCCCCTTTTTTAAATAAAAGATATAACACGGGATTTACCGTGTAACATGAATCCCATTGTATGCTACTGTGTTCATAAACACCAGCAAAACAAAAATTCAGCCTTAAAACCCCATCACCAGATCCCCTGCATTCGTCACATTACGCAAAGCGCCCTCGGTAGCCCAATGCATCGAGAAAGATGCGACACCCCCCGTCAACTGAGCGTACCGAAATTCCAGCCAAATTCTGGCAGAAACCAGGGCCTTGAAGATGCGGCAGTGGCTCGGGAAGCCGCTTCCTTCAATTGCGCATTTCCTGGCCCTATAGATGGCCAGTTTGGCGTTGTTCATGATGAAGTTCGTCAACCCCTCGATATCCTTGGTACCCTCGTGCCCCCTATATCCAACCATAAGAATTGTGGGTGAGAAATGAAGATTGAATTTCAGTAGAATATTTCGTAACAGCTTATAGAGTGAGTCTAGGCTTTTGCAGCGTACGTATTGATACGCCACTGTTTCGAGCTCACCACAGAATCCGCATTCAGGATGTGTCTGTGAAAATTGTCAGGAATGTGTTTCGTGGTCACAGTCCCATGGGCAATGCTCCAGCCAAGATCACCGTGGCGCTTGTATGATGGATTTGAGTAAAACAGCTCCCAATGAGGCCTCAAGCGATCACTGCAGGGCATCGTGTCCCTCCAAGCGTAGCCTTTACGTGACATTATTTGTTGATGGTGGAAATCCACCATTTGGGCCTACAGCTTTTTCCGGTCTACACCTGAGAAGCACCCCTCCTGGCCATTCCCCGATGTGTGCCCCCCGTGCTGCTGTGAGGAAGAGAGGTGAGTGTGCTCCCATGCTGGGACGACATTCAGTTTTGGTGGCACTGGGCCACCACCGGCTGACTCGTCGCCAACACTCACAGCAGGCGCGCTTCCCACTGCTGTTGAGAAGGACCTTCATACCTCATTCACAAGTTTTGCAGCGAGTCTCACTGAGTGCATCTTGTTCATTGCAGTTATCTCGGTAAGGAGAAGCCACTGCCCCTCCATGCCTGGTTTCACTAAATCTCCCACCCTCGTGAGACGTGCGTCCACCATGCGTTTTTCCATGGCAGGGCCCACAAGAGAGGGTAGTGCCATGTTGGGGTTCTGTAACAGTGGCTCGTGAGCGAATTCTGATGCTGACTGGGGTGTATTCAGTCGAGCGGTGACAAGGGAACCCAGGTATGTAGGATACTCCTGTAGAAGTGGGGAATCTGTGCGAGTGGAATACCTTTAATGTCCATAAAGAAGAGCTGCTTGCTGCACTGAAGGCCCCCGAGGTTATTCAGAAAAAAAGATGCTGTGGAACACCACATGGGTGATGGGGCCGTGTAGAGAAAGCTCTGTATGGCTTGTAGACGAAAGGTAGAGAGTTGGCTCCGTACACACACCAGACCTTGCCCGCCCTCCCGCAGTGGCAAGGCCAAGATACCAGCAGCCACACGGTGCTTCCTCTGCGACCAGAAGAAGGCAGCTATCATTCTCTGAAGTTTTGCTATGAGGTATGCGGGTGGAGTGAGGGAAAAGAAGCGGTGCTACAAGGTGGATGCAACCAACTGATTCACCATCAGGGTTTCCCCTCTAAACGTGAGAGACTTGCGCAGGTGCCCCCATGGCTCCAGTCGTTTCCTCACCTTCTCTTCCAGCAAATCCCATTTTTCCTGCAGTGGTTTTTCTCCTGGCCCCAGGAGTACACCGAGATGGTGCAGACGCTCTTTGCTCCACGTTATTGTTTTGGCCAACTCAGGGAACCATGCTTTGTCCCACTTCCCAACAAGCAGCCCACTGCACTTCTCCCAGGAGGAGGCCGCACGCGGGGAGTAAACCTCTTGGCACTCGTGCAGCCGTTCGATGTCGTCAAAACTCAGTAAGAAGAGAACGTCATCGTCATACGCTGTGAGGGTCACTGTCATACTGGGCTCCTTTAGAGTGAATCCGGTGAGTTGGCGTCGGAGTAGATGCAGAAAAGGCTCCACGACGAGGGTGTAGAGCTGTCCTGACATAGGACTGCCTTGAATGATACCTCTTCTGAAATCTATAGGAGCAATTAGTCCGCCATTAACTTTAACCAGACACTGGGCCATGTTGTACAGCAGACTAATCAATCCTATGAAGCGGGTCCCAAAACCAAACGCTTTCAGAGTGCCAAGAAGATACTGGTGATCAACCCTGTCAAAGGCTTTCTCTTGATCAAGGGAGAGAAAGGCAAGTGGAAAGTTCAAATGCTCCGACAGACTGATCAAATCTCTGACCAGGAAAATCCCATCATGGATGGTCCTCCCTGGAACAGTGTATGCCTGATCATCGGCAATAATCTTAGCCAACACCCTCTCTTAAGCCTTGCAGATGCAGCTTTCGCGAGAATCTTATAGTCTGTGCTCAGCACTGAGAGTGGACGCCAATTTTTAAGGTGTCTGAGGTCGCCCTTTTTCGGAATCAGTGTGAGCATGGCTCTCCTCCAGGACTGAGGCATCATGTTGGTCTCCACTGCTTCATCCAGCACAGCTTTGTAGTCTTTACGTATGGAGTGCCAAAAATGGTGATAAACTCCCCCTGTCAGCCCATCAATCCATGGGGATTTGTTCCTGGCCAGGGCACTCACTGCCATGTCCAGGTCGCATTGTTCGACCTCTTCTTCTAGAAGGTCCCTGTCTTCTTCACTCAAAGTAGGCAGGTCCTTCCAGATTTCATTCTGGGTCACTGTGGATATATGCTCTGGAGAGAAGAGATTTTCATAGCACTGTGCTAT